CAAAAAACAATCATGAAGAGGTATTATCACTTAGAGCCTTTTTTCTTTCTTTCTGATTTTAAACTTTGCATTTATGGAATAGTATTCAATTTAAAAAATATATATTAGCCACCCAAAAGCCCCAGAAACAGTGATAACAAAAGAAAACAATATTGATAATTCTGGTAATTGTATCTGGAAAAAGACCACAGAGATAATAACAGTGAAAAATTAGAATGCTTGGTAAGTTGGAACCAGAGAAAGAAAAATAATCAAATAAATTATTTGTTTGAATGCCAAAAAATCAAAATTGTTATTTTCTCTTCTGCAAATAATTCTGTGGACTAGCAGCCCTGTTCATTTTCTCCTTTTGATAGCAATAAATGTGAGTGCACTGTTAGACTAAAAATTATTATTTATAAACTCTATTGTTACAAAGCATGCCTTTTACTTATAATCATAAGATTATATACAATCCCCACTAAGGACTAGCTTTTCTGAAAGTTAATTATATTTCCCAAAGTCTTAAATTAATATTTCTATTTTATTCATGACTGAAATATATCCAATGTCCACTAAAGTATATTTAAAGTATGAATTCATATGTATATTTGATTGTGAGTTAAAATTAAATTTTAAATTTATAAAATGGCTCAATCTCAAAATTAGAGACATAATTTAATAGAGTTGTTGAATAAATGCATTTAATTAAAATTTAGTTTACTTATGTATAAAATCGCTACCTAAAACACTCTTCTTAACTTATCGCTGCACTATAAAGTGTGCTAGCAAACTAATAGAATGATTTATAGAAAATTAACCAACTAAGAAAAATAGCTTCCTTTTCACTATAGACACTGCACTGTCACATATAAGAAATAAGAACGAATTCAAGCAACAGGGAGAAGTTATAGAAGTTATGTTTAAGAATTCATGAACAGAGTAATATGAGAGATTCTTAGATATTATTGTTTTTTAAGTATTTATGTGACTTTTGCAGAAGACATAAGAATGAAGATAGATGAATTGACCACTATTGCTTCCCCCCGTCGCCACACTCCTACTTTTGGAGTTTAAATAAATATAAATTTTGCCTCTACTTAATATTTTAAAGGTCTCACTCCTTCTTTAGCTTGGCCTTTATTTTAGGGATTTATTCGTATCTTCTGATTTTATAAACTTAGGTGATTTAAACTTAATCACTATCATTCATGTTAAATATTGTATCTTCCAAAAATATATAGTTTCATGTTTCCATGCAATTTCAAAACTATATTTATAATTTTATAGTTAATTCTATAGGTAATGGTTATTAATGTGGATTTTATTCTTACTGATATATTTTACTTGATTTGCATTATTACCTCGTGTTGCCCAAGTTCTTTCTCTTTTTGTGTCCTCTCCTCGCAACGCTTTTCATAGATATCACATTGAGAAGACGGAGCGTGCCTGTGCGCACACACTAGTGTGCGTGTGTGTTGGGGGGTTGGAATCACAAAGGGGGGCTCTCCTCCACTCAGTCTTTATGGCACTTCTTCAATTCCTTGTTCCACCATCTTTTATTTGTTCCTTCCTTCCTCTGCTAAGCATGGTCGCCCTACAAGTTGACCAGCACACTGTCATACACTGCCAGCCCAAAGGTGCCATTACAGTTTTATTTTATTTATGACATGTAAAGAGAGCGCCATCAATACCTAGGTTGTGCTAAGAAACGGAGGGTGTGAGACACTTTTCTCCATCAGCTCTTTGGTTGCTGCGACGCTCTGATGTGCAGAGAGAGGTTAGGGCTACCCCGTCAATGGGGGCCTGTGGTTCCAGGTAACCGTGTGTGCACTTGAGTCAGCGATGTGGGTCCCTCGCCCAGCGCTCCTGGAAGACTTCTGTGGCCTGGAAGGAACCAGGCATTTGCTGGTGAGTGTCCTGCTAGGGGCGTCTCTACAACACAATCACCATGAGCGGGAGGCTCCTGAGGAGTAAGGGGCTTCACAGCGGACAAAACTTCTCCAGGAACAGTCTCCTTTCTAAGAGTGAGCACATACTTTAACTGCCTGAGCTTAGGTTCTATTTTCTGTTTTTAAGATTTTATTTATTTTTTAGAGAGAGGGGAAGGGAAGGAGAAAGAGAGGGAGAAAAACATCAGTGCGTGGTTGCCTCTTGCTCTCCCCCTACTGGGGAACTGGCCTGCAACCCAGGCTTGTGCCCTGACTGGGAATCAAACTGGTGACCCCTTGCTTTGCAAGCCGGTGCTCGATCCACTGAGCCACACCAGCCAGGGCTAGGTTCTATTTTGAAACTTCAGCTAAGAGAGAAAGATGGTTGAAAATCCAACTTTTAATATTTAACCAAATAGCCAGTTAAGTGTTAGCAAGCTCATCCTAGAGTCTTCAAGTCAATAATCTACTCATAAAATAATTACCTCTTGAGTCACAATGTGGTTTCAGACCAAAATTGAAAAAATACTTCACAATACGTATTCATTTCAAAGTACAAATGTAAACCTTGTTAGTTGATAAAAAACGTATCTTTAAAAAAAAAAAGACATTTCTTTTTCTTTAAGCCCTTATTATGATCTTACTAATGTTCGGCTATGATCTTCTTGTTGTGTATCTGAGACAAAAAGGACAATATGACTCAGGAGAAGGAGACAGGTAAAGAAAGACAACTGAAAGAGGTTTGATCTAATTATTTTAACAGGCTTAATATGTTTTACATTCATAACTGACACCTTTCAGAGACTATGTCAACACAATGCCCTGCATGAAATAGCTTATATGGCAGCAGAAATAGGCACTAGTAAAACTGTTCTGATCACTTTGGAAAATTCCGTGGTCTTTTAAAATTATAAATGTACTGCTTAAAGTGGAAAAATATCAATTTTCCATGTGTCTTAAGCACAAATTCTATATTAGAGAGCAAACATATGTGAAACCAAAAAAAAAAAAAAAAAAGCAACCAAAGCCCCAAATCATGTGTGAAACAAGCAAAAAAAAGCAACCAAAACCCCAAACCATGGAAAGCTATTCCAATCCTTGGGTTGGACATTGTCTGATATGTCAAAAATAAAGTTTACTTCTCTGGGAAGATCTCAGAGCCATTCTATTGGATGGAGAGGCAAAGAGAATTCTCTGAAATTTAGGAAAATACTAGTTAGAAAACTGAAATGCCTCATTCTGGCAAAATGAAAGGAAGCTCCAAGACTATATTGCAGTGTTTATTTCATAACCACCATCAATGTTAGCAGCACCATTAGGCGGCGTTTCAAAGGTTGCATAAGTGAGTCAGAGTCTGGTCCAGGCTGGAGACAAGGACATCTTATTCCATTGTCTACAAACAGACAACTTCCATACATGTTTATTCAAGGCACAAGGGTAAAGACGTCGGAAAGTTGAAAAGTATAGGACTAATAAAGGCTGTCAGGAATAGAGTCTCATGAATTCTAAAGAGAATATGTGAGCCTTGCAAACCAACTGCAAAGTGTTGTTTTTTATCACCTTTCACTATGGCGATCCAAGTAATTTTAATGCCTCTTTCATCCAGCCTGGAACCTCTAAAAACATGCCATGCCATGTCTGCAACTCACAACCAGTCAACTGATAAGCCAAACTCCAACAATCACACGCAGATTATACCTCAGGCTTCCCAAGGGAGATGTCAGTAGTCCACAAAAACATACTCTGCATCCATTTGTTGACACGCCACTAAACACCCTCCCACAGAAGGCTGAACTAGAAGACATTCTTGCACCTTGAATTCAAGGGGCTTCCTTTACCCAATCTGTGCAGGGAAGCGAGCTAAACCAACAAACACATGACAAGGGATAGAGCTGGAGTCATAATATACTATTTCCTACTACATGTCAGAAATAAGTTCTTTAATAGTTGTCATTCCATTAAAAAAAAAATGAAAGAGTCCGTCTTTTTTGTAGACTTGCGACAGTGTGCTCTGGCTGCCTGGACTAAGAGATTTCCTACACACACCCCCACCCCCACCCCCACTCACCCACCCCCCAGGAATTGTGTGATGCTCCATAGGACTGGTTTCGTGCTCTCAGGCTCTTCTGTAAACATGCATTGCAGGTAGAATTTAGAAATTTCTCACAGGGTTGGGTAGAAGACTACATACAGACCAGAAGCACGGCGCCCTCTGGTGCACATACACAACATGAAATAAAACACATCACAGTATTTACACAGATACAGACACACAAATGCAAAGCGAAGTTTTGCTTCTCCTTCTTCACCAATCACTGAAAACCATTACCTCTCTCTCGAAGAAACAAGCCAATCAAAACTTGCATCAGACATTCTCTATTGCATAGGTCAGTACAACCTGATCCATTCAGGCAACCACTTGCACAGTCCTCTATTTAAAGGGTCTGCTGCGATTGCGGGGCACGCAGTCTACTGGATTTAATATACGACTCCTTTTGTGTAACTTATTTGTACTGAAACACAGAAGAGTAATAAACATTAAAGGCCATGTATCTCAATCCCCTCTACTTTCTTGGCCTTTGCTTTCAGGACCTATTTATCTATTCTTTTTATTCCACTGCCATTTCTGCCAGCTTCTGAATGCATAATTACCTATTAGATTAAAAAAAATTATGAACTAACTCAACTTCCAGTAACTAATAGAAGATACCATTTCCATTTAAGCTCAAAAAAGGTAACAGCATGGTATAACGTAGAAAGGAACCACTGTTCGAGAAAATTCACTTAACTTCTACTGTTCACAATGATGAACTCTATCTCAAAATTAACTGGAATTTACTTGATGGCAGTGAACCATTCTCGAATTTGAAAAGGACACCCAAGTGGCCACCATTATCTCATTGTTCCAGAATATGTCACACCTATGAGAAATACATTTACATAACACAAAGGCATCGCTATTATGGCAAATGTAAACAATAACCCTTCTGACCGGAATGCTTTCCCCTCTGAAACTTTCCCTTAGAGACACTTACTTAAATACAACCCTTAGGCATGTATCTCCGTATCGGCTTTCCCTTTGCTTCATACCTGTATATCTTGTATCGTGTGCTAAATCCCTGCCGGCTTCTGTCCACAAAGTCTGTGTACTCCTGCGAGCGATGGAAGGGCCCCTTATCAGACAGGAGCCAGTCGAAGGGGCTCGTGGCATGCTGATCGGAGGCAGCAGCAACCGCTAAAACCCAGCAGTGCAGACTCAGGGCTAGCCACTCCCACAGAGCCATCAGACAGGACAGTTCAGCGCCGGCTCTGCTCCGCCATGTCATGCTTCCTCTGGGGACTTAGGGCCGTCATTCTCTTAGCTTTCCCTCAACACCTAGACGAAATACACAGGCGGTTAGTTAGCCCCACGCGGGTCTCTCTAGCAACGACGGGGTTGAGGGCTAATCCTTTTTTTTTAAATCTAATACCATGGTTGTAACTTTGACATAGCAAAAGTGAATAAGTAAACCCAAATGATATCTTTTTGTCGACTCTGTATCCCTTTTATGCCGGTGTCTTTCTGAATGTTTTGGAAAGTAAGTCACGAGGCGCAGTGAGCCTGTTGTGAGCATGTCTCACTGGCGTGTGTGAAACCCACATGCAACGACCAAAGGCTGTGACTGAGAATTCTTTTCTTCTGCTTACATGCTTTATGCCATGGAACACATTCTGAATGAATAATAAATGTTTCATCATATTTTAAGTCATGGTATAAGTTTTAATCCTAAGTGTATTTTATTGTTGAGCAATTTTAGAAAAATGCTTTAAAATGAGTTGAAGGTATTTAGGGAGTTATTTTTATAACAAGGATAAACTGGGGTGGAATAAAATGATGGGTTTAAGAATACATACATACATACATACATACATACATACGTGTTTCTACCTGTGTGAGTGTCTCTCTCTCTACAGGTAAACGACTGACTGGATGAATGTGTCCGCGGGAGTGAAAACAGAGGTGCCTGTTTGCTCAGATTCTTTTTCCCATTTTTCCAGTTAAAAACAAACTTTCCTGATTATTTAAACTGAATAGAATTAAATTGTTTCCAGCACCTTTACAAGATTTAAATGTGCTCCTCTGTGTCATTCATGAGATAAACAGGCACACCTACCCAAGTCACATACATACAGACACTAAGACAGTACAGATTACCCATAAGCTAAGAAACTATATATATGAATTTTATGAGCATTCAAAACTCTAGGACTGTATTTGTGACTAATTGTATAACAGGTTATTTTAGTTTCTGTTCTGTGGAAAGTGTAAAGCATTCCAACAAAGGGTTTTTAATGTAGTTTTTCTTTATTCTTTTTTTCTTTCTTTTTTTTTTTTTTGCACCCATGCTGTTGATTGCTAAATGTAATAGTCTGATCATGATGCTGAATAAATGTCTTTTTTTTTTAAATAAAAAATAAAAAATAAATAAATAAAGTAAGCAGAGGTGTCACCCCAACGTGGCATAGCACCAGGGCCTTACACACAGGGGCTGATGTAATGTTGACACGCCACAGAAGGACTTCCACACATACTTGAATTCAATTCTCCTTTCCCTCTTCACCAATTTTTCCAATATTGTTATTTCTATCACATAGAACTATGCAGTATATAAATTCTACCAATGAGAAAGTTTGGGTTATGAAAGTTCTTAGCAAAATCTCTTTAGAAAGCAATCAAAATGCACAGTATTAGGTAAAATATATTAATTATAGTAGTTGTCATATTTCTCTCATGTTTGGATTAGGCAATTGACAGATTTAATTTGCTTTCTAGTTATAACTCTATAACTCATAATTTAATCCTCAACTACTTCAATATGAGAGGCACACAGCAATCATTTTGCAACTATAAAGTATGTCAAAACGGATACATGTGACCGGCCTGGGTCATCAGTCAGCCTTACCTACCACCCAATTACAAGGACTAACTAACACCCACGTGCTGTGTGAGTTGGCCGAACTGCATGACTTGTTTCACTGCGGTGATTAAAGAATGCCATCTTTGTAACCAACACAAAAAGTCTTCCAAGCGAATACATTTTAAAAATGGTTTATCCTAAGGAAGGATAACATTATACAATAGAAATGTCTGAAATACGGGTTGGGGGATGCTGGATCTCCACCATGTATTTGTAGAAATTGACATTGCCAAACGATTCAACTCAGAATTTCCAAATCTGATGAAGAAAATAGGTATTTTTTACATATTGTTTTTCTTATGTGGCATCTATATCATCATTTTTCCTAACATACTGTACTTACATCCATAAACTAAAATTATGATTATGCATAATAGAATAGTATAATCCCCCTGTGGCTATCAACTACTTCTTTTCTTTGTTAAACACACATTTTTATTCTGCTGATCAAATATATTCAAACTTGGGACACTTAATTGTTACAAAATATTCTATTTTCTTATGTAAAGAAGGAGGAATAGTGCCTAGTATGTGGCAAGGACATTAGGAGTTTTTCAAAGCATATTTCCTATTGGTGTGAAATCATGTAATTATATACCTGTTTAATTTTAAATCATAAAATTAAACCTAATTCTGCTCAAGCACATGACTTTGTAAGACAGAGTACTACAGAAAAAGTAGGAAATGACTGACCTACACGGCATTTAAGGTCCTGTTCTCGAATTCTGTAGTTTTCCAGTATGTAATTACCCAGACCCATTGTTTTATTCTTTACCAAACGTGTTAAAGAGCTTTCATGGTCCTTATTCCCTAATCTCCACATACAGGAAGACAGAAAGATTTTTCTTCAATTATGTGTAGGGGAACTACCTAAAAATGTTAGTATTAGGTATTTATTTATTTAGGTTCTATTTTTCTACTTATTTTTAATCAAGCTTATTGGGATGATATTGGTTAATGAAATTACGGAAGTGCCAGGTATATGACCCTATAATCCATCATGTGCACACCGGACTGTGTGTTCGCCACCCCAACTCAAGTCTCCTTCCATCACCATCTATCCCCCTCCCCTCCCCTTACCACCCTCTCCCTCTGGTAATCTCCATGCCATTGTTGTCTGTGTCTATGAGTTTTGTTTTGTTTTGCTTAATTTTGCCTCCTCTTTCACCCAGTCTCCCAACCCCCCTCCCCTCTGACAGCTGCCCATCTGTTCTCTGTATCTATGAGTCTGTTTCTATTTTGTTTGTTAGTTTATTTTGCCCATTAGATTCTACACATGAGTGAAATCATATGGCATTTGTCTTTCTCTGAGTGGCTTATTTCACTCAGCAGAATAATCTCCAGGTCCATCCATGCATTTACAAAAGGTAAGACTTCCTTCTTTTTACGGCATCATAGCATTCCATTGTGTGAACGTACCACAGCTTTTTTATCCACTCATCTACTGATGGGCACTTGGGCTGCTTCCGTATCTTGATGATTATAAATAATGCTGCAATGAACATAGCGGTGCATATAATCTTTCAAACTAGCGTTTTGGGTTTCTTCAGATAAATTCCCAAAGGTGGAATTGCTGGGTCATAAGGCAGATCCATCTTTAGTTTTCTGAGGGAACTCCATGCTGTTTCCCGCAGGGGCTGCGCCCGTCTGCGTTCCCACCCGCAGGGCACTGCGCTCCCTTTTCTCCACAGCCTCGCCAGCGCGTGTGTGTTGTTTTATTGTTACTAGTCATTCTGACAGATGTGAGGTGCTATCTCATTGTGGTTTAAATTTGCATTTCTCTGATGATTAGTGACATTGAGCATCTTTTCATACATCTATTGGCCATTCGTATATCCTCTTTGGAGTAGTGTCTATTCATGTCCTTTGCCCATTCTTTTAGTTAAATTGCTTGTTTGTTTTTGATGTTGAGTTTTATAAGTTCTTTATAAATTTTGGATATCAACTTCTTATCAGATGTATCACTGGAGAATATGCACTCCCATTCAGTGGGTTGAATTTTTATTTTGTTGGTTTCCTTGGCTGTGCAAAACCTTTTTAAGTTGACGTAGTCCTATTTGTTTATTTTTTTCTTTTGTTTCGCTTGCCTAAGGTGATATATCAGAAAAAAATATTGCTTTGAGAAATGTCCAAGATTTTACTGCCTGTGTTTTTTTCCAAGATATTTATGGTTTCAAGTCTAGCAGTTAAGTTTTCAATCCATTCGAGTTTATTCTTGTATATGGTAGAAGAAGGTGGTCAGGTTTCTTTTTTTTGCGCACATCGGTCCAGCCTTCCCAACACCACTGTTTTCATTATTTCTGTTTCTTCTGCTTCTGATTTGGGCATACGTTCCCACTTCTGCTCGTAATTAGTTTTTCTAAAAAAAACAGTTTATTACCACATAATAATATGAATCCTGACTACATGTAAATGAATTTTGGGGATCTCTTGAAATCATCACATTTGTAAGGTCCTTTTAGAGAGAAGTACAATTACCAAAGCATGACACCTGAGAAGGCCCATGACACTGTCTTTGGGAGACTGCCACGAAAGGCTTAAAGCAGGAAGAGAGGTGGTGCCGGAAAACCCTCGGGCACGGATGCAGGCGCCCAGGGGCATTCGGACAAGCGGCCACTAGACCCAACACTCAGCCACAAGGGCTTTACTCACCGGGGCTGTCACGACAGCGGACAAATGCACACTTGAGCCACGCTTGCACGTGTGCGCGCTGACTTTTAATTATTATTAAAAGCCGTAATTTTTTTAACCTTATCTATCTCTGTGTGCAATGTGACTTTCTGATAGAGATGGCCAATGACGACAGTAGAGAGTTCCTTGAGGGACATATGGAGGTCGCAGCTAAACTCAGAGGTATTGAAAATGAAGGAAAAACATGAGAGCCAATGAAAGAAAGTAAAAGTGTTTAAACTAACAAGTGAATTTGTCAGTTTTACCCCCTGGAGTCTGGGGAAAATGCAGGCATAAATCTCTGCCCGATGTTGCTTATACTAGATTTACAGAAATTTTCACATTACTGTAGGAATTATTAAACATTTATTATTCTGTGAATTAAATGATATCTGTAACCAGGGTTAGAAGATATATGTAGGAATTCACTAACAATATTTATAACCACACACTCCTAGTTTTAAGAAGTTTGAACACTTTCTTTTCCTGAGAAATGGATGAACCTGAAGACTCTTACTTTGAAATTTTAAAAGGTTTTCCTAAATAATTCAGACCTTTTTAAAACTTGTAAAAATAATTTTAGTGAACTACCTTCGAAAGGTTCTTAACTGTACTATTGCCTCCTGCATGGTCACAGAAGACACCCACTTCTTTTTGTTCCTCCATATAATCACTTCTAGTTAAATAGTTCATTTCACCTTCTCTTCCTGGTTAACTCCAAGGTAAGTTTTGGTCCTATTATAAATTC